ATAGAAAATGCGACTAAAGTCAGGGAGCGAGCTAGGAGGAAGGTGAGAGGAACACGAATAATGGAACGAAGGAACAACACAGCAACACGGAGAAAAGGGGGCATATGTACAAAACACAGAAGATAAAGGGCAAGAAGTTAGGGCAACTAAATAAAGAGAGCGAGGAGGAGGAATGTGGTTAAAAGATAGGGGAAGAAACAAAGGAAAATAAGATGTAAAATGGTTGATAGTCAACCCATCTTCTTGAAATGAAAGAACTTATATTAACTATTTGGGAGACAGTACGAATACGTACTGATGGACTGCCAGAAAGTCGACTTTTATATTGCTGAATTTGGACAATCCGGAAACATTTTATTTTAACAGCAAATAGACCTGACATAACCTAGCAACCCTTGGCCCTCATATACGCTATCTCAGGCTTAATATAGCACATATATGTGCTATACTCACTCTAGAAATACTTTAATTCAACTTTTAACAATATTTTTTCCGAACTCTATAAAATTAATAGTGCAAAAATTGGGTTACTGTTGGACCATCAGTACATATTGGTACTCTCGACCAGTTATTGTACACACTGTCACGCAAGCAGGATGGCCCGTGACAGCCGTGACCAGCAGGATGTCACGGCCGTGTCAGCCGTGACCAGCAGGATGGCCCGTGACAGCCGTGACCAGCAGGATGTCACGGCCGTGTCAGCCGTGACCAGCAGGATGGCCCGTGACAGCCGTGACCAGCAGGATGTCACGGCCGTGTCAGCCGTGACCAGGAGGAGGAGGAGACGTGAGGACGACGCGTGGGTAGAGGAGAGGTAATGTTTCAGGAGAAGAGATTGGAGAAGGAAGTAGAGAAGAGGTGTTAACACAGAAGAGATGGAAAGCGCATGAAGGTAACGGGATCACAACACAGGAGCAGCGCTCAGTAACAAAGCACAATCAAGCTCTGAGCTCCGGTTAAGCCAAAATGATAACAAAGTGGAGTAAAAAAAAAAAAAATAAAATCTGCAAAGAAATGCCTGAAATTGGAATTCTTTTGTAGAAAATCTTTAGCGCTTAAAGAGTAAATGTTTCGTGTTATTTCACCAAATGGCTTAAGGATATGGTGGCCCCACCGCTATGAGGTGCTATGAGGTGCTATGAGGTGCTATGAGGTGGGGGGGAGGGGGGGTTGTGAGATTGTGAGAGGGAGAGGAGGGGGTGATTGTGAAAGGGAGGGGGTGATTGTGAAGGGAAGGAATGGTGGGGGGGGGGGGGTGGTGGTCATTGTGAAGGACCTACGTCGGGAGCCGGTCGGCCGAGCGGACAGCACGCTGGACTTGTGATCCTGTGGTCCTGGGTTCAATCCCAGGCGTCGGCGAGAAACAATGGGCAGAGTTTCTTTCACCCTATGCCCCTGTTACCTAGCAGTAAAATAGGTACCTGGGTGTTAGTCAGCTGTCACGGGCTGCTTCCTGGGGGTGGAGGCCTGGTCGAGGACCGGACCGCGGGGACACTAAAGCCCCGAAATCATCTCAAGATAACCTCAAGATACGTGGGGTCTCATTATAAAGGGCAGGCTGGTTGTGTGGGAGGGGTCATTATAAGGACAGCAAGGGGGGGGGGGAGGTCATTGTTAATGACATTATCAGTCATTGTAAAATGCAGAACAAAATGAGCTGAAAGTAGCTTAACTTTTTTATGTTGGAAAGTAGTGAAAATTTTACAGTATGAAAGAGGGGGAAAGTTTTTAAAGGGGCGAATTTTTTAAAATTTTATGGAACGAAATTAAGGAACGTTTTTAAGGACGCTCTAAGCTTTCAAGGAAGGGGGAGAGGGGTAAGTTTTTAAGAATCGAATGAGGTGAAAGTTTTAAAGGTCGGAAAGCTTGATGTACTTGAGAAAATGCTGAAATTATATGAAAAAGCTCCGTTTCGTACGAAGTAAAAAAAAAATACAATAGCACTAGAAAATAAAATCATGATAACATTCTGGCACACACACATATGAGCACAAAAGATAACACAGGATAACAGGAACAGATCAGTTATCCTGAAGATCACAGGCAAGACGGTGCTAATACGAGAGTCCTATATACACCTAGAGGTAAACCGCTCTTTTAGATGTAAGTATACCGAGAGTTTACTGTAGAGTTATATTATGTTCAGGGCTAAAATATACTTGTTGGTCAGTAAGCCTTAATAACCCTCCCGCGGTTCACAGGCCATATATATATATATATATATATATATATATATATATATATATATATATATATATATATATATATATATATATATATATATATATATATATATATGTCGTACCTAGTAGCCAGAACTCACTTTTTGGCCTACTATTCAAGGCCCGATTTGCCTAATAAGCCAAGTTTTTCCTGAATTAATATATTTTCTCTATTTTTTTTTTCTTATGAAATGATAAAGCTACCCATTTCATTACGTATGAGTACAATTTTTTTTTATTGGAGTTAAATTAACGTAGATATATGACCGAGCCTACCCACCCTACCTAACCTAACCTAACCTATCTTTATAGGTTAGGTTTGGTTAGGTAGCCGAAAATGTTAGGTTAGGTTAGGTTAGGTAGGTTAGGTAGTCGAAAAGAATTAATTCATGAAAACTTGGCTTATTAGGCAATCGGGCCTTGCATAGTAGGCTGACAAGTGCGTTCTGGCTACTAGGTACGACATATATATATATATATATATATATATATATATATATATATATATATATATATATATATATATATATATATATATATATATATATATATATATGACAATGTCAGACCACGGAGGAAAATGAAACAGGAATTTCCTTAAGTACTTTCGTATATTAAATACATCTTCAGAAGGAATGATCATTCCTTCTGAGATGTACTTAAAATGATGTACTTAAGTACGAAAGTACTTAAGGAAATTCCTGTTTCATTTTCCTCCGTGGTCTGACATTGTCACATTCTTAATCACGTGTTTATTTTCGTGATATACACACACACACACACACATATATATATTATATATATATATATATATATATATATATATATATATATATATATATATATATATATATATATATACTGTGTGTGCTATATATAAGGCTCTGGTAGTACAATTGGCTCCGTTCTCGAATCACAATTGCGGGACTCTGGGTTCGATCCCCGGACGGGACAGAAAGGATTGGATATATTTCCTCTCACCTAATGTCTCTGTTCACCTAGAAGTAAATAGGTACCCGGGAGTTAGACAGCTATTGAGGTACTTCATCACATGATAAAGGAATTGGTAGTTCGACCAAAACCTTGAGAGAGAGAGAGAGAGAGAGAGAGCGAGAGAGAGAGAGAGAGAGAGAGAGAGAGAGAGAGAGAGAGAGAGAGAGAGAGAGAGAGAGAGAGAGAGAGAGAGAGAGAGAGAGAGAGATGAGAGGAAGACACAGCCATGTACCCAGTGGTCATTAACGAGACCATCTGCAGTGAGCATGAGAGCTCCTCTCACTGAAAAAAGACTCAGTTAACACCATGAGAGACGATGATAGGGACGAGGAGCACCAGGGCCCGCCGCCCCCTCCTCCATCAATCACTACAGGAGCCCATCACCCTCATGAACGAGGGGGGGGGGGTAACCTCGCTGTATTTACAAACTTTCATAAAAATACGATTTAAATTTAATTTAATTGAAAAATCATTATTCATAAATGTAGGCGATTACATTTATACGAAAAAAATAATTAATTTATAAAATGATTTCACATTTTATAATTAACTTAGTTTATATTTAAAATAGATTAATGATTTAAATATTATTTTTAATATTGATATCTGGACACTAATTATAATTATAAATAATATACTTTTAAAACAGATAAGACCCAGCTTGACATAATTCTGAGGAACTTGAATAAATTGTAAATAAAAATTGTTGCAATATACAGACATTAAGAAATTCATTATTAATCTCATTTGAACAGTCATTACCTTATATATCAACAGATTCAAGGGGACAAGCCTGCCTCGAAATCCCTTCGACCTCACTGCTCAAGAAAGTGTGTTCTGTCAACAAGCCACTTTTTTGTGATGGTAACTCCTTAACCCTAATGCTGCTAAGGGCCTTAAATAACATCCATTATCCAACCGGAGGTATCCCTGCTATCCTCGTTGACTAGCTATTTTAGTCTATCTTGTAGACCTGCTATACCATTATATACATCATTGGGCAACTCAAATAATATTTTCCTACAATCAAGTTGACATTTTGGGGAAGTTGGAGTGGCCAGTGATTAGTGAACCCCTGAACAAAATAATAGCTTATTAAGTTTGCTGGATGAGTGATTGTTTTCAACAAAAGGATATCATTAGTTTGCGAATTATTTCCTCATGTAAAAAGCTGGAACAATAGTCCAAGCAGGAGAGGTGCAATGAACGCGAGGTTGAACACCTGTAACAACTCCTGGAAATTGCAATGAACGCGAGTTGAACACCTGTAACAACTCTGGAAATTGCAATGAACGCGAGGTTGAACACCTGTAACAACTCCTGGAAATTGCAATGAACGCGAGGTTGAACACCTGTTAACAACTCCTGGAAATTGCAATGAACGCGAGGTTGAACACCTGTAACAACTCCTAGAAATTGCAATGAACGCGAGGTTGAACACCTGTGACGACAACTGGAAATGTACTCCGTTTATAGGTTAACTCAGCATTTGACAAGTTCAATAGTTCACATCAATACAAACAGAGATATTGTTAAATAACTTTTGCTATTGATCAGGGATCAAGATTCACTCCTAATAACGACTCTTCTAACTTTCAGATCACTGAAAGCATCAGAAAAATAGACAAGTGGGCCCTTTGAAGATGAAATATATTCCACATGCTATTCAGATTACTTTACTGTTATCTTTTTACTGTTACGAAGCACACACACACACGCAACATAAAGCACAACACCCATCATGCAACAGAAGCACAAGACGCAGCAGCCTGAAGCACAACTCACAGAATATGTTGAGTTTGAGGCCGTCCTCGCGGGCAGACTGGGGGATGAGCTGGTTCTGGGCACGACAGGTCAGGTACTTGCCGCTGTCAGTCATCTCAGCCTGGTACTTGAGGATGGACGTCGTCACGTTGCTGTCCGGAGACGTCTGCAAGGGGGTGCAAAGCTCTCCTTAACATCACCTTAAATAATACCCTTAAGAAAACAGTAATAACACAGGGGTTCGAACTCTGCTTTATTCGGAGACGTCTGCAAGAGGGTGCAAAGCTCTTCTTAACATCTACTCCACATCCCAGAAGTTGCAAGGGGTTGAGCATTGTCCCTTCACTCCTTCCTCTAATCCCCAGCTCATTGTCCTCATATTCTAGCTCCTACTCCTCATATCTCAGCTCGCTTTCCCCTTATTTCCCAGCGCCTGATAATTCCGTAAACTTACTCGGGTTCAAGCCCAGCAGTAACTGGGAACCTGGATGTAAAGCAGATAGCCGATCGTGTTTTTGGAAAATAATTTAACCTGAATAACGTAACTGGTTCCATTATCTGAAATATAGTTTTAATCCAACATAAAAACAAAAATATTGAAACTTTTACTAAAATTTAAAAAAAAAAATTATACAAAATAAAAATAATAAATTGCCTTTCCAAGTTTCAGAAAACTTTAATATTTATATCAAATGAAATAAACGTTATATGTCCCATTCATATAAATTACAAAGAACGAATCCACGAATCCAAAGAATTCGAATCCGTGACGAGGATTCGAGCCTACGTCTGAGAGCATCCCAGACTCTACCTTAATCGACTGAGCTATGACATGGTAAAAAAAAAAGGAGTTGAAACCAGAAGTTCTACTGAACTTCCTGAACAAACAAGACAACATGACACAGTCAAACACATCGGCAGATGTTCATTTACTAAGGAAAGTCGTGCAAAAGACTAATCCAGTCTTCAGAGTCTTCAGCCTCAGAAAGACTTCAGACTTTCGTTATCCTGCATATCTGACGCTACAGATAACCAGGCACAGAACGTCTGTGGTCCGCTAAAGAAAAAAAAACAACAACTACGGGCTCACCATAGCCCGTGCTACTTGGAACTTTTTGTTCCAGGTAGCGAATCTTAAACACATGCTATTCATGTGTTTCCAATAGCATATATATATATATAATATATATATATATATATATATATATATATATATATATATATATATATACAATATACATATATATATATATATATATATATATCTATATATATTATATATATATATATATTATATATATATATATTGCTATTGGAAACAACAACAGCTAAAAGCAAAAACTATGTAACACCAAGGATGCAGGTCTGCCCTGTATATCGCTTAATGCATAAACTATACGACAGCAGGAAATTATATAACTTCAAGGATGTCATATAGCAATAACGTGTTACATATATAATTATGGAGAGGTTATATGAAGCCAGAAGCCAGGGAGTTTGGGGGAGATACCAAAGGAAAGAAATGAAAGTTCATTCTTATATCTCAGTCACTACAGTAATTGAAAAAAATAACATGGAATACCATAAATGAGAGAAGAACATTGAACACCATGAACCAGAGAAGAGCATTGAACACCATGAACCAGAGAAGAGCATTGAACACCATGAACTAGAGAAGAGCATTGAACACCACGAACCAGAGAAGAACAGTGAACACCATGAACCAAAGAAGAGCATTGAACACCATGAACCAGAGAAGAGCATTGAACACCATGAACCAGAGAAGAGCATTGAACACCATGAACTAGAGAAGAGAATTGAACACCATGAACCAGAGAAGAGCATTGAACACCACGAACCAGAGAAGAGCATTGAACACCACGAACCAGAGAAGAACATTGAACACCATGAACCAGAGAAGAGCATTGAACACCATGAACCAGAGAAGAGCATTGAACACCATGAAGAAAATGAGTGTAGTATAATTCAAGCACAAACAGGTGCTAAAATATCGCATTATATATATCTAAACATTCAATATAAGAAGAGAGCAAGAGGGGACAATAATGTGAGGGGAACAACAACAGGTGTAGGAGCCCCAAGCACCTGGTTTTATGGCATTCATTTGCATTTAAATTCAAATTCAAGGCAATGTTGTTCGATATACCGTCCAGTAATAATTACACGGGGGATATAATTAACCCGATGCATTAATAACAAATATATATATATATATATATATATATATATATATATATATATATATTATATATATATATATTATATATATTATATATATATATATATAGATATGGTGTGGGACTACACTTCCGGTTCAACTTTAGCCAATACCTATGTTGACTTCAGGCTACACAAGCAGGAGGAGCTGCCAATCACCGGGAAGCGGCCAAGTCACGTAAATACAGAGACCTTGAGCACCACTACAATTTTGTCCCCATTGTCTCAGAGACACTTGGTGCCTGGGGTAAAAGTGCTACTAGTTTTTTTAAGGGGTTGGGGTCCAAGCTAATTGAAACAACTAGAGACCCTAGAGCTGCCAGTTTTCTCTTTCAGCGCCTTAGTGTGGCAATCCACAGAGGAAATGCTCACTGCATCCACGGTTCCTGCCCGCCATCTGAGGAGCTGGAGGAGCTGTTCAACTTGTGACAAGTAGCCTTGTACCCTGCATGTAACCAATGTTGTAACTTTTTTTGTGTAATGACATTTTCAAATAAAGTTTTATATATATATATATATATATATATATAATATTATATATATATATATATATATATATATATATATATATATATGCGAACAAGCCTGAATGGTCCCCAGGACATATGCAACTGAAAACTCACACCCAGAAGTGACTCGAACCCATACTCCCAGAAGCAACGCAACTGGTATGTACAAGACGCCTTAATCCACTTGACCATCACGACCGGACATAATGAGGTGATAGCCGAGGCTATATGAACCACTCCACCGCCGGCACTCGGATAGTTATCTTGGGCATAGCATTTTTACCAAATCACCTCATTCTTTGGGTATATATATATATATATATATATATATATATATATATAGTTATATATACATATATATATATATATATATATATATATATATATATATATATATATATAATATATATATATATAGAGACACATACCAAAAGAATAGGGGTGGTAGGAGAAGAAAATATCAAAGTGTTCAGTGGGGATCCACAAGGTCTTCTCTAAGTACTCTTTATTTTCTTCTCTGAGGCGGCTATGGGTCCTTACACTTGCACCAGAGGTGGTACCCCTTCTAGGTATATATATACACACAACAACACTTGCAACTTGCAACTTGCAAGCCGTGCAATCACTTCCCTCATGTGTGCAACAGCACATTGGCACCCCAGCACGCGACACCACTACACTAACTCACCGTCATAACGGCGTCTTTAAGTGGCAGAGTGCCACCCTTCCACCAGCTGATGATGGCAGCAGGTCTCGACCCCCAGGCCTGGCACACCAGCTCGTACTCAGAGCCGGCACTCAGGCTCTCCATGCCACTCAGGATGGTCACGTTGACGGGACGGACTGTGTGAGGAAATCGTAGATTAATAGTTTAGATCTAGAGATGGAAATTACTAGTTGAGATTATATGTTTGAGGTTATGGTATGTGAACTTCAAGGAAGTTATGACGTCTCACTAAGAGATTACTCATAAACTAGGGCGTATTATTCAGTCCAGAACATACACCTGTATACAAAAAAATCATACCAATATTAATTATATTTCTTATAATTATAATTAGTGTAATAATACATGCAATTGAAAGATATATTCCTATAATTGCCTTTCTACCCTATTTCTGCCTGTCTCTGTGTCTGTCTGTCTGTCTGTCTGTCTGTCTGTCTCTCTCTCTATCTCTCTCTCCTCTCTCTCTCTCTCTCTCTCTCTCTCTCTCATCTCTCTCTCTCTCTCTCTCTAGCCCCCTCATCACTGCACCATATCTGGGCCATTACCACTGATAAATTATTATGTGTGTTCGCCTCATTACCCACAACCACTTAATTCCCATAATGTATAACTTAAACCTCACTAGAAAATGACAGAGAGAGAGAGAGAGAGAGAGAGAGAGAGAGAGAGAGAGAGAGAGAGAGAGAGAGAGAGAGAGAGAGAGAGAGAGAGAGAGAGAGAGAGAGAGAGAGAGAGAGGAGAGAGAGAGAGAGAGAGAGAGAGAGAGAGAGAGAGAGAGAGAGAGAGAGAGAGAGAGAGAGAGAGGAGGAGAGAGAGAGGAGAGAGAGAGAGAGAGAGAGAGAGAGAGAGAAGAGAGAGAGAGAGAGAGAGAGAGAGAGAGAGAGAGAGAGAGAGAGAGAGAGAGATTGCAAATTAAACTTAATCACCTCAATTTAAGTTCATGGTTGCAACTTTCTGGTCAGATCCCTAGAACTTTGTCCAGTGCCATGTTGGCTGCAAGGTGGCAGAGGTTTAACACTTTGAGTATTTTTTGTTATAAAAACCCAACCCAGATGAATGGAATGGAGAAATTTGCGTTTTTAAAAATGGACATTTTTATTGATGATTCTTCTACCAAATTTTCCTGTATAAAAACAATCTCTTTAATCATTTTTAGTGCTTTGCTACAGCGATACAGACGGACGCTGTAGCATATACCTTGTTTAATTCAAAAGGACAAAATAGTGTAGATATATTAATGAACACAATAATGGGATTAAATGAGTTATGAATGAAAGCTTAAGTAAAATTTAGTATTAAGTAAACATTAAACTAAAACCTGAAAATAAAATGTATGAAAATGAAAATAGTTTTCGTTTTTTTTCTTGCAATAAATATTCACTCGGAATGTTTATCTTAACAATTAGTTATTTGTGTATATTCTGATCTTTTGAATCACTGAGACTCGATCTCGGGTCTTAAAACAAGGACAGTCACACTTTACAACCAGGCAAGGAGGCTGAAAACAGTGTCAGTAGGCCTATTATCTTCAATTTCACCCTGAGGCTCGAACCTTTCCCCTGTAGCTCCCATGTCGATATACATCCCCCTTTTACCCTCTTCCACACCTCCTTCACCCATGTATACCCACGTATACAGGACCAATTCTCATGTATACAGACCAAGCAACAAACCCATTCAACAGCAACGAGAGAATGATCACTGATTTACCACCATTTTTCCAGCCAGGTAATTTATGACTTTCCACTCAAATATTTGTTAAATTTTGGTTAACATCGCGTATGTCAAGTATGTTAATTCAATCTTGGAGTGAACTAAATCTATTTTTTCAATTCAACGTGAAATTTTTAAATTTAATTTAGAGAATGCGATAAAAAGCTTACACTATTCCAACGGTGCCACACATGTGCATAATATGATAACAACGGCGAAACACCAGTGATTATGATAACAGGGATATCAGTGATTGCCATAACAAAGGATAACAGTGATAGTGAACCATAACAGTGTGGTGATGAGGATCTTTGATGATTGAATGATGAGGGTGATAACGATGGTGATGATGATGAAGCTATCAATACACTTTTAATCATTCATTTCGTCGGGGACAGGCAGCCTGCTGCTTTCTAAGCTTGTATCGAGAACCCCTCCCCAGGATCCAACCCCAGAACAGTTGGCCAACTCCCGGGTGCCTATCTACCGCAAGGTGAACAGAGACATCGGGGTGATAACATGCCTAATCATTTCTGTCCCGCCCGGGTATCGAGCCAGGGAGTCTCAACTGTGAGTCGAGAACGTAGCGAACTGTACTGTACACAACTCATGTACACAACTCCACGGAGTTGTAATATGTATATGTAATCATATGTAATCAATATGTTAATTACATATTCATCACTATACTACGCCGACTGGTATCTTCAAAACGTGTGTGATAGCTAGTACAGAGATGAAATACATAGTAAGTCACGATAACGTGAAAATCAGACACCCAACCGACGAATATGAAGTATTGAGGACGTTTCGGTCCGTCCTCTTCAACATTATGAAGTCACGATAACGGCTCAGGACGGACCGACACATCAGTTCTTTTGTTTCCAGATTTGTGGGTTGGGTGTCTTAAAGAGAGAGCACAGAGTGTCTTAACAGTGACTTAACTCTTGTTCAACTTCGAATACTGTGAAGTATTACTCCATGCTCCAGGTGGGCTGTGAGGCTCCTACTCGAATGAAATGTCCTCAGCCAAACCTCGCTAACAAACAAACCAACTACTATCCAGGGCTGGAACATCACCTTCACTCGGCTGCTACGCTACGGGGGAGCCGGTCGGCCGAGCTGACAGCACGCTGGAATTGTGATCCTGTGATCCTGGGTTCGATCCCAGGAGCCGGTGAGAAACATTGGGCAGAGTTTCTTTCACTCTATGCCCCTGTTACCTAGCAGTAAAATAGGTACCTGGGTGTTAGTCAGCTGTCACGGGCTGCTTCCTGGGGTGGAGGCCTGGTCGAGGACCGGGCCGCGGGGACACTAAAAGCCCCGAAATCATCTCAAGATAAGATATACCGTTTAAACGTCTAAAACGTTGTTTATGCATTCATTAAACGTTACTCAAACATGTTTTGCCCACTGGCCAGTTCCTCATAGCAGAACACATCAGGACAGCCGAGTCAAAATGTGCTGGTTATTCGTCAGAGAACTCCCACAATAACGTAATCACGTCCAGGGCTCATAATCCAGCTCCAGCGGGTATCCACTCCTCTCCTTCAATACCAGCAGTAAGCCGAAATCTCCAACGTCGGAACCTTTGATGTGAGGCCAATGATCCTATGAGGATGTATGACGGAGCGTCGACGTGACTGGCTACCACAGGCGACCACAGAACACTGAGTGAGCTCCAAGAGGCTCACTTCCATTTATGATAGCCTTCGAGAAACGAGTCTACCATCACTCTGATTGGCTGGCGCCTCTATATCAAATATTTCGACTAATTAAAGAGTGCCACGTGTCACTAAACTTCTCATTGGCTGAAACGGTCACGTGACACGATGAGAAACTTCTGGAATGCCTGAGAAGGCGCCATTCGTTTGGGCCTAAATATATTTGCCCGAAACGCTATGCGTACTAGTGACTTTAGGTATTGTATGTACTACCTCTATCTTTAAATCTAACAGAATGTTTGTACTGTAACGCTGCAACTATGTATGTACTGTTCTTAAATAAATTATCATTAATATTATTATTATTATTATTATTACATATTTACCGTAAATAAAATATCACATAAAGTATATGAGGTAGGCAAGGGATGTTAAATGGCTCTAACAGTAGCCTAAATACTAAATAATTTTAGAAGGCACGGAACCTCGTAATAGTATCAATAAACAATCATAAATTTCGCCTCGCTTAAGAAAGTCCCCTAAAAGGAAGCATTTGCAGGAGCCGCTAAGTTACAGCCCCGCTCCTGTGCCAGGTCAACCCGTCCTCGACTCAAGTCCATTACATTCAGCGGTCAACCCCACAGACGCATTCATAAATTTTAATATGCTGTTCATTCAAAACGGGATTTTTCTCAAGTATAAATTAATAATATAATATATTAGCATATTGTGTATATATAGGCATAGGATAGGTTAGGTTAGGTGTTTAGGTTCTGTTGGCGATTATTTGTATTTGTAGTACGTGGGTGAAGCATTTATAGCGTTGTGATTCGAACAAAATTCGTCAGTGAAGCACTTGTTCCGGATATGTTCGAACGTCAGCAGTTGTGAGTCGTGTGTAAACCGCTTTTCATTCATAAACAGGGGGTTTGGCGGGTGGATGGAATCACTTTTGGATCTTTGTTTGGAGGACGGGCTGGCCAGGTAAGTCCACTACGGGCTCACCATAGCCCGTGCTACTTGGAACTTTTTGTCCCCAGTAGCTGAATCTACAACAACAATAAACAACAAGAGCCGCTAAGAACATGAACCAAGGAGAGAAATTAGGGATAAATGATCACTCCTAAAACAGAAGCCTTCCTCTGAACGTGCTGTCTTTGGTATTCTGAAACCCGATGTCTTTTTATATTTGGCCTCATCCAATTTTTCCCAAAATTTTGTTAGTTCGTTGCTGGAGCCTTTTCATTTTTTTTCCTCAGTAGTTAAGAGCTCACAGGAAGCAAAATAATTTTTATTTGAAAGTTTGCAACAACTGCTTAATTGTACCTTGTCGCATTTTCTAGAAAACTAATACATTTTCAACGATTATATTTTCGTAAAAGATAAAAGCAATTGGATTATGTCATTTATGATCAAACTTATCTATGAATTATTGTAAAATATTAAGAATAAAAAGGCGTATTTTACAACAAATTTAAAATATATCCATATTTCATTCTCACACTCGAACAAACAGACCATTTGAACATTACAAACTATTCTACCAACTATGTACACAGTTCAACAGTTTCCGATATTTTTCACCCCAGATAATCTATTGCGAACCGCCGGAGTGAAGTCACGCATTCATCACCTCTCCGTTGTTCAGGACCGAGTGAAAACTCGCCGAATTGAATATATATATAACGCAGCCACAGACGCAGCATCAGAGTCCTTCAAAGCCCCACAGATGCAGCATC